ATCCTCATGGTGAGGCCAGACACCTGCAGATATCTGAGCAGACAGAGAACAGCATTCGGGACTTGGAACTAAACCCCCGGACCTGGCATCCAGTCCCGCGCCAACAATCCCTGTCAAAAAGGCACCGAGTCGAACCCCCACACTGAGCTTTCCTCCTGGAGCTGCTGCCTCCCAAGCCATTTTTATCCATGCCTTATTGCAGGGAACATGTGGGGTTAAGGCGGGTGTGTACGTACCGGGGATGAAGCGCAAGCTGCAGCATCGTTACCTCCAGCTGGAGCCAGAACGACCAAGCAGCAGCAGCTCCCTCAGCAAGAACAAAGGATTGGAAGTTATAAGCATTAACGCTCCAGAAATGATTCATGTTTCTCGGAAGCAGCCTTTTTGCTGCGGATATCTGATAAGCTCCAGTTTTCAATCAAGGGTAAGGTGCTCAAAGGTCAGGATGTTTTTAAACTAAACTAGGTCTCTGAATGATTCCTGCCTGGCACTAACTTGCCACCACCACCTTGCTGAGGGGTCTGTTCTTACCTCGGCGACACCCCGATGTCCTCTGCAGTCACCCAGCACCTCTCTGTCCCAACACACCTGCCAGAGCTCGCTCATCCATTCAATTCAACCACGTGGCACCAAGCATCCTTCTCAAAGCAGTACATGATCCTAGACAAAGCCGTACCCAGGCCAGGGCGAAGCCCTTTCTGGGGAAAAGCCTCCCCTAACAGGCGTATTCACAGCAAAATAAATAAAAATCTAGCTCACGCTTGACACCTGCACCCCGTCAACTATTTTTAACTGGCCATCAAACAGTGCTGGTGGATGTGACGTTGGTTTTTACAAGCTACCCTGAGCAGACAGAAACCTGCACATCTTCGTGGTCTGAAGCTGTTTCACCTCCAGTTTCAGCTCCTAGACACGAAACAGAGCCCAGGCGGGCACGCCTGCACACCAGACAAAACCCCACAGACCTACAGCCAGCCGGGCCCTTTGCACTTTTCCTCCCCTCCGAAGCACTTTGCACTTCCACATTTTAAGAGCTACAATTTTAGGAGCACAAAGAGATCGCTAACTTCAGGCACTGAGCAGAAACCCCAGCCCCGGTGTGCCTGTCAGGCTGCTTCAGGAGCAGCTGCCCTGAGCAGGAGGAGGAAAAGGCTTGCCCCAATTCCCTGCAGAACGCCTTTTTCCATGCTTTTCCACAGGTCACACCTGCAGGAGCCGTGCATCACAACCCAGCCACCTCGTGGCCCTTGTGCTCTCGGAAGACCCCGAGCATCCCCTTCTCCAGGCAGCAGAGGCCAGTCGGCAGGTCTGTCCTGCTCTTCCTGGCTGCCACAGCCTCTGGCAAGACTTTGCCACGTCAACCGACGGCTATGTGGCTCCTCCACGCGTACTTCCTCCTCTTCCCCTCTCCTCTGAGGGGTGACCTTAGCAGAAAGCACTCCACAGCAGGCTGCAAGTGGAGCAGAGCACATCCACCTGCACTGCCGCCTGCACCGCCTCGGCAGATGCTGGAGCCAGCACCCACCTCACTCACTCCCTTTTGTGCCCGTTTGCGGGGCCCCTGCGAGGGTCAGGGAGCTGCCCCCAGAAGGGACAGGACAGAAAATCATGGGCTTCTTCCTCCCAGCAGGGGAGCCTCCCTCCTGCCTACCTGACTCCAGCCCAGAGAGACAAGCTGCGCCTCTGCCCGCTCTGCGCTGCTCCAGGGAAAGAATACACAATCACACCCCGTTTGTCACGCTTGGAAGCGAATCAGACAGACAGAGCTCCACTCCACTTGTTCCCTCATTTTGTTAAACAAGAGGGAAGGCCGCAGCACATCTCCTCGCCAAAGAAAGCAGCAAACAGTTTCTCAAGATGAGCGCAAGTGGTGCGCGGGCGGGGGAGAAGTGGAGAGCGGCGCGCACTGCGGAGACAAGAGACACAAAACAATCCTGCGATTAGTTATTGACTCCAGAGGAGTTTCAGTTCCAGCAGCAAGCCAGCCAGGATAGCAAAAATCCCTCTTTTGTTCCCCAGTCTCAGACAGGCTTGGCCACACAGCTCACTGCTGTCTCGCTCCAGACAATGAGAAAAGAAAGTTAATCCACTGCCACCAGAGCCGGAGCCATCCAGCCTGCCGGAGCGATGCTGCAGGACGATACGTGAGCGTTCCCGTGCAGCAGTGCCAGCCTTGCCTCATCCTTGTGCCCACGAGCAGATGTCTGGTGACCTGTGGGCCTTCCCTGGGCACTGCCGGTACCTCTGGGGGCAGCTGCAGCTTTGGGGCCATCCCTGCCTTCCACCGGGATCCCACTCGGTTCTGCACCGCGGGCACTGTGCTCCCTCACCAAACTGCTGTCGCAGGGCAGAGCGTGCTGCAGGCTGCTACCTGGGGATTCAGTCCATCCTCTCACCAGCACTGTGCAGAGCAGCCCAAGCCAGGGCCCTCCTGCAGGAACAACACCTCCCGGTTGCAGAGGTCCTGTTGTGCAGAGGGTCCTGGCTAACAGAGTGCTCAGATGTCACCTCTTCCCCCCAGCACGGGGGCAGGCTACACAAATACCAGAACCACCTTATGCATTGGCCAAAACCAAACTTCCTCACGCTGCCCCTCCACAAAAACAGAAGTGACCCTTTAGTCACTGCAAGAATCTGAGCGTAGCACGGCTCAGGATCCAAGTGACCTGCTTTCAACCCCTTCTTCACCACCAACTTTCTCGGTTTTCCATATGAGAAGTGAAACCTTTTACTACATTTAAGATTAGACTGGAAAATTATGATACGCAGGCTCTACAGAAATGGAAATTATGGACCTAGATACTTCTAGAACACGAACAGACATCGGTACTTGTGTCTGGAGCCTTGTAGTTCAAGGGACTGATTTGAAAGTCAAGGCATCACTGCATAAACCTGGACAGCTAAATAACAGAGTGCAGAAGAGCACAGCGCTGAAATCTGCTCCAGAAAGTGCTTTCAAGGTTCTTTACTCTGGGTGACCTGGGAGAGGGCTGTTATTTTATCATTACGCTTCCGCCCTGCGAGAAGCCCGGCTGAGCAGGAGGCAGCAAGACCGAAATAATCAGCACGGCCCTGGGAGCTGCCGAGCAGAGAGGGAAGTGCTCCAGCACCCCCAAGCAGCAGCAGCTTCATTCCAGGGCTGTCCCCTGCTCTGCATTAACTTCTTTCCCTCCCCCCAAACTATCCCTACCCCCAGCCGTCCCAGCACCAGCTTCCTGTTAGATTAATTATTCCCCGTACACAGGCGCTTGATGATTTACCCAGCAAGTTAGGCACAACAATTAGGGACCTGCAGTGCCATTAGCGCTCTCCCCAGAGGCCCGGCTTTCAGAGGACCACCTCCATCCTGCAGGGACACAGGGGAGGCTGTGAAGGTCCGTGAGGGTCACCACAAAGGTGAGTCACCGCCCGTAACGTGGCCACACGGCCAGCCAAGGACGGCGTGTTACTGAACAGCCATTAGTGCTAGTCAGCAGGGCTGGCAAGGAAGCCAGAGTAGGTGGGAGTATTTATGATCCTGAAAGGTGTGTCTCCAGTTCGGCTTTTCTGTGACCCAAGACTCGTAGCACGTCTAGCAAGGCAGAACGAGCTTTGTTCGCTTGTGTTGTCCACCTCCTGATAGGCACGGTTTCCAACAGCCATAAAACTGAGGCACGGTGTGGAGTAATCACGCGTGAGTTCATTTGTGGTTAAAAAAAAAACAACACACAACCACACACGTCAGACTGGCCCAGCTCGGGAAATAGAAAGTATCACACCTGGCTGCCATGGGCCTGGCCTGCAAAGGGAGAGCACCTCACTCATGCCTTCTCCAGGGAGGTGTTTATTCCTCTGAGGAGTCCCAGCTGGTCACAGGAGGTGTGTGTGGATGTGCCACTGACCCACACGGCTGCGAGGCCTTCGCCCAGCTCTCCCCACAGTCCCAGCAGAAGCCGCAGTGTGATGGAGGTTGTTTGATCCCTCAAGCCCACAAGCCCCAGCAGGGCCCTCCCCGAAGACGTCCTGTGGCACCAAGCAGGATGTTTGGCTGCCACCTGAGCTTCCTCCCCCGTTCCTGGGGGTGAGACACGTCCAGCAGGGAGGGCGCACAGCAGAGGGTCACCCCATGCTCTGCAGACCTTGGCACCCCGGTTACCTGGGCAGGCGCAGACACCCCAGCAAGCTGCCACCCCAGCTGGTAAAGCCGATTTGGGACCTCAGCCCCAACCAGCCACTTGTGACACTTCCCACAGAAGGCGAAGGAACAGCTCAGGTTTTGGCTGGAAGCACCCACCAGCTCTCCAAAAGCCCTGCTCAGCTGCCTCAGGCTCGTTAGCCAAATCCCATCGGAGCCCACCGAGACCGAACGCCTTCCCAAAACCCACGGGGTGCGTCCAGCACAGGGTGGGAGCCTGTGGGGCCGGGCAGGGGGAGGCCGGCACACGCTGGGGCAGGAATTGCCTTCACTGGAGCTGGAGGGAGCGTTGCTGGGAGAAGGCTCCAAGGAGATACGTGCCCTGCTCCGCTCCAGGAGGAGTTCAGCAGCCTGCAAGCCTGCACTTGTCCGAGGCATTTTTTTTTCCCCGAGGAAGCCTCCAAAAGCTATCACAGACAGCTGGGCGAGGTGCTGCTGAAAGCACGGCCGATGGCCGGGGCAGCGTGAGCACCCTCACCCAGCGCCTATCCGAGGGACTTCGCGTTGGAGCCCCTCCAGCCGCCCCCAAACACACACAGCAACTTGGCAGGAGGACGAGGAGCGAGCGGGGCAGCCCCGGCACACAGCGGGCACACAGCGGGCACACAGCGGGCACCCAGCCCGCACCCCCCCGCCTCCAGCACCCCCAGCCCCGGCTCCGAGCGGGCAGCACCGGGACCCCCGGGACCCCCCCGCCGGCAGGTCGGGGGCTCCGCAGGCACCACCCGGCCCCCGGCCGCTCGCCCTCCGCCCCGCCGTGCCCGGAGCCGGCCGGGGCTCGGGGGGGGGCAGCGGGGAGCCGGTGCCGGGCAGGCCGCGGGCTCACCTCGGTACTGCAGCGAGCCCGAGAGCCGCACGGTGACGGTGCCGACCAGCGGCTCGCCGGGGCTGTAGATGACGCGGCTCTCGCCCAGGCGGATCTCGAAGAGCTGCACCTTCCCCATGGCCGCGCCGCTCTGCTCCGCTCTGCCGGCAGCGGTGCCTGCCCTGCCGAGCCGTGCCGAGCCCTACAGAGCCCAGCCGAGCCGTACCGAGCCGTGCCGGCCCCGCCGTCCCTGCCCCGGCCGGGCGGCTCCGCCCTGCACCCGCCTCCGCCCGGCCCGGCCCGCGCTGTGGGAAGGGGCGGGCGGAGGAGCCGTGAGGGGCCGGGCTCTGGGGGAAAGGCCGGGCTCTGGGGGGAAGGAGGCGGCTGTCCCGGGGCCATCTTGCCTCTCCCAGTGCTCCCCCTAAGCAGCTCTGCCTGTAATTCCCCCTGCCCAGCTGTCACCTTGCCCCCTGCTTGTTCCTACGTCCCCAGTCGCTTGAAGCGGCCGGTGGGAGTTGTACAGACGCAGTGTGGGGTCAGGGCTGGTAAACAGCCACCCCACGGATCCAAACAGCCACCCCATGGATCCCCACAGAGCAGTGGGGTGAAGGGCTGTACCCCAGCTGGGGCATCCCCGGGAGCTGGGGGCTGCCCTGCCTCACACTTGCTGAGTGTCCCCCTCAATGCTGCTTTCACTCCCAAGGCTCAATAAATAAATAAATAAATAAATAAAACCAGTAAAAAAGGCATTTTGCTATTTCTTTATTTCACAGCAAACACCCAACACAGTGCTGGGGAAAGGCACCTCCCGGCGAGGCCTCCTGGCTGATGACAAGCAGGCTGCGCACACGGGCAGAATGAGTAAGTGCGAGGAGGGCCGCTGATCCCTGTTTATCCATTCATCTGCAGAGCACACCCAGCACAGACCCCGCAGGACCCGCAGCGACACCAGCCCGAGCTGCAGGAGCCTCCAGGGTCACCTCAGGGTGGCCATCACAGTGTCACACCCCACGTAAAGGGGTTTGAGAGCTACTTCAGAAGTAGTTTGTATATCCCCAGCACAAGGGACTCCTGCTGGGGAGCTCTTCAGGCCCTCGCTCCTCCGCTGCTTACAAGCTACCTCTTCTTTCCAGCCTGCACGTCGTCACAGGCAACACACACCCCGATGGGCTTGTGCCAACGCTAAGTAGCTCATCTCCTGCAGTGCATACCCTCAGAGGCTTCCATACACCACTCTCCTTGCTCTGCCCTTAGCTGTTGTTTTGCCAGGCTACACGCACCAGTCTCTTCTGTAAGATGAGCCCGCAGCCTCTTTCATCAGCCTCTGCAGCTCGGTTCCTTCGCAGCCACCCCAGGTGGCACTGCCAGCAGAAAACAAACAAATGAGGGGTGGCAGAAGCACCCTGTGCCACAGCAGATTTTACTGAACCTCTTTCTCCCACGGAAAGGCTCTGAAGACCAAGAGCTTTGAGCACTGTTGAGCTACCAGCGGTCATACCCTCTCTGTCCCCATCACCAGGGTAGCACCATCACCCTTGCCCCACAGGGATGCTGAGCAATGACACACGGTTAAAAAAAAAATCCTTCGACGAGCCAAAACAGAGCCCCTTACGCTGCACTCTGCAACTCTCTTGATGCAAAGATATTTATACTCCTTGTTTGCAGAAAAGTAATTTTAAGCATAGTAAAGTTACTTGCCCAAGGTCATAACAAGAATAAAAAGGATTCCTGTGCTAGGAGCTGAACAAAGGCATCCCGGCTCCAGCGATGTGCTCGCTGTGCACAGCTATAGCCCTGCGAGACAGTCACTGAGTGCTCTGACAAACACAGGAGCTCCTCTTGTGACATGGCCGGCAGCGGTACCATGGCACTGATCCTTCCCCAGTGCTTAGCTGTCCATAAAATGTAATGAGATGGGCACAATTATGAGCCCCGCAGTGCCAGGGCACCTGCCATTCCCTGTACGTGGCACGATGGTGCTCAGTTCAGGAGGGTTTTGCTCATTAGAGTCAAATGCCTGTTTGCATTCCTGCCTCCCTGCTCATCTGCATGTGCCCTGGAGTCACCAATGTTGTCTAATTGCCTGCAGAGTCACAGGCACTGAAATTCTGAGTAGATGGGGGAAAAAAAAAAAAAAAGAGATAAGGATGTTAAGATTCCCTTTCCTGCTATTTTGGCCTGTTGTTTTGGTTAAAGTTGTTTTGAAGACTTTGTTCTGATAGTGGGAACTCTCACTTCCTCTTCGCCCTCATTTCTCCCTTCCTCTTTTTTCCCTTATTAAAAGGGAAAACTCTAAAGAGAGACAGATAAAAAAATGCTAACCCCAGCTTTAGAATAAATTTTTCCTTTCAGATGTCATCACATTCCGCTAACTTTAAGGAACACGAAACTTCTTGACAAATAATGTAGTAGTAAACAAAACAAAACAAGCACCAACAACACCCATGGCACCTGGGCCATGCTCTGCCCACAGCACGGCTGAACTTCTGCCACGGGCCTGGGAAAGTGGCTGGGAACAAAATATGCCCACAAAGGAACAGCTGAAGCTGCAAGTCTTGTACTACCTATATATATATATATGTATGATGTATGCAGAAGGCTTCGTGGTTAAATCATGTGAATTTTCTTGTAACTTGGGTAAATCATGTGAATTTTCTTGTAACTTAAATGTGTCCCCTTCTGGCCTTGCAGAGGCTGTCCCCCAGCCACACGCGATGACCCAGCACCTGCCCATGCCTCAGCTTCCCCTGCCCCACGGCCATCATCGCCCCAGCAGGACCAGGAAGCCTCCAGGAGAGGCAGCGTGGAAGCAGCTGAGATACCTGAGCAGTGACTGGCACAGGCTTTAATGAGGTGAGCACTCCTGGGTGAGGCATTAGTGTTATCTCTGGGACAGTTTGTAGCTTGCAAGGTCATCGTCACCTGCTCTGTCGCTTCAGGGTGCGTAAAGGGCTGGGGAGATGGGCAAGCCTGGCCTCGTGGCCTCTCCTCCTCTCCAGCTGAGGAGTCTTCATCTCAATCACCCTTGCTTTTCCAGTGCTCTCCTCTGTCCTACTGGACAACAGGGTTGAGGTTCAGCTGCTGGCTGGGGACACCCCAGCACACCCTGAGACATCAGGCACCAAAGCTGCCGTGACTGAGGAGGAGAGAAAGCAGCAGAGGCACAGCCGAGGAAATTGCTCATTGCATCTCAAACTTCCCTTGGGCTAAAGCTACACATCTGAGCAGGGAGCCCCTGGAGGGCTCACTACTGATGTATTTGTACTGTGTATATCACTCATAACTTCTTTTTTACACGCATGTGTATATAGAATCCATAATACTGACATACTTATAACATAAATATAACATAAAGGTTTATAACCTTTTCCAAATCCCTTACCCTGCTTTGCTCACTGCTTCTCAGCCAGCTCCCTGGCCAGCCAACCGTGCCACCTGATACTGACAGCAGCAACACCGATTATTCATTTGTGATGGGCTGACACCTTTCATCAGTTCACACCGTATTTAGCATTGTTCTGCCACACCTCCCGCACACCTTCCTTCTCTGCTGGCAAGACATTGATGCTGTGGTCCCCCTCTCTGCTCGGTGGGTGCACAGGCTCTGCCATACAGCTCACCCAAGGGCACACGGTGGCATTCCAGCTAAATGTCCCACTCCAGGGGTACAGATCTCTAGGATCTTGATGTCCCAGGGCTTTCTAGCAGCCCCCCGTGCAAGACACCTAAGAGGTATAATAGGGTGATGATAAGAGGTATAATAGGGTGAGGAATCTCCACCAGAGAGAAAAAACTATCCTTTACCAAGAGAGGAAAAAGTCCTGCCACAGCCCTTGGCAGTCTGCTTCCACTCCTCGCCTCTCTCACTGCTAACATACACATCTGCTTTTTAGTCCCTCTTTGGCAGGCTTCTGTTTCAGCCACTGGTTCTTGTTCTGCCTTTCCCTGACATTAAGGAGTACTCTGGTGCCAAGTAGTTTCTCCCTGTGATGGTACTTACACTGCTGAAATCAAGACACATCTCAATTTCCCTGATAAACCGAGCAATTTGAGCTCTTCAGGTCTCTCCCCACAAAGCATTTTCTCCAGCCTCCATGTTATTGTGCTGGTTTGTGTCTATGCAAGCCCACGTACTGGCATTTGTGTCTCTATGGGGGAGGCTGCTCCTGCAGATTTCCATCGACACGCATGCAGGAGCTGATGCATTGGATTTTGTCCCCAAATGCACACAGAGGTATTTTCAAGCCCTTGAGCTCCTATGGGGGCATTTGTGTCTCTTTGCTAGGGACCAGGTGAGCATCCATGAGCAACACCAGGAGCTCCTGATCTGCTTTCCCCCCCCCCCGCATAACCATCACCTTTGTGGGAAGAGGCTGATTCAGGGTCACCCCTCGTAAGCCAGCTCCTCCCATTTAATTTCATTCCCCAATCCACTGAGTAAAATCAGGGGACAGAACAAGTCTCCAGCAGAGCCACTGCAAGCTGGTGGCACAGCTGTCACCTGTCTCCATTACGTGGGTGCTACTGCTGTAATTGCCTAACACCCATCCAGCACCTGGTGAGCCTTGCTAGAAAATCCTTAGAGAGCAGCAAGGCGTTAATTACTATTGCTATTATTCTAATCTCACTGATGGGATTTGTGATCTCCTCCCTCACTGGAGGAGCCTCTGTTGCTCAGAGCAGGGCTGGACAGGAGGATCAAGCGGGAAGTCCCGTCCCTACAGGCTCTGCATCACAGCCCAGGCAGAGCGGGGACTGCAGCCTGTTTTCTGTCACCCACAGGCTCTGGGGACAGGAGGACTGTCCCCTGCTCTGAGACCCCAGCAGGGCCTTGCCTGAGACAAGGGCCATGTTAAAATTAAGGGCTGGACTCTTACAGGTATTTCGCATTTCTCCTTTGCTCCCATGGTGCTGACAGAGGCAGAGATGACCTCCAGCAGGGGCCTTATCCAGGGGCAGAAGGCAGCAGTGGTGTGTCTGAGACCACCCCAGCTGGAGGAATGATCCCTGCACCTCTCAGCAGCCCCCTATGAGGATTAATTTAACCAGCCCAGATGTCCCCCTTCTGGCTGCTAAAAGCTGTGGGATGCACCCTGCCCCTGATACCAGGGACAGAGCTAACAATAAAAAGTCACCCAGAAATCCCCCAGTCCTCTCCACAGGCCAGGAGGAAGTGCCTGGGGAGTTGGGTGGGCACCAGGGTCACGTCAGCATCCCACACAGAGAGCTTTTGGGGTGGGGACAGCACAGAGCCCCCTCACAGGGCTGGCTGAGAGACATCAGCAGAGCAGCCCCAC